AGTTAATATATATATATTAACATTTAATAATAATGATGATTCATTTAACTACATGCGCACATATATTAAAATACAATCCCACTAATTTTGATTTTAATATTAAAATTAAATATAGAAAATAACCTCAACAAATTTAATTGTACTGTGAGATTACTAAAATACCCTTTTATCCTAAAAGATGAAAATACCTTTATCACAAACTGATTCTTAAATGATCTTCTAAGTGTGTGCCTGTAGGCTCATTACCATATCGACAGTGAGTAGTATCGCGATTAATACCAATTAATTGTCTCACTACACACAGATCAAGATTAACCCCTAGTAAGGCATCATGGCCACTGGATATATTCGGATTCAGTGAAATAACCACCTATCAATGATATGGTTACCGTGCAATCAAATCCTTTCATCATCTGTTATCTCATCGAGGCTGAGGTATATAAATAGTATTAACCTCAGTTATCCTCGATATCTTTGTATTCAGTTACTGGACAATGACCAGATAAATAAATTGGATTAAGAAACAACTCAATCCCACTGTGGCCATAAATTTAGTGTCATTACCATTTACTGAATTACGCAATGAGACAACTTCTCCTGTACCCGGGAGTGATGAATCCTTTGTTGATCCACCATAATCTTGATATACTCCTCGATGTAGCCAATCTCTACTGTATTGATAGCTCTGAATAGAACTACATTGGGCTAGTATCAAACTACACTAATCAGTGCACAAGGTGCTCCGGTGATCTCAAGTCTAAGATCACATGTACCACCATTCGTTAGAGGATTTATTCCATAGACACTGGGGTTACAATCTATATGGAATCTTCTGGTGGGTTTGTCTAGTGAACTTGCCTACAGCAAGCACTCATGCGATGCACTAGGTTGTCGGCAAACAACCTTGACAATTGAGATCAGTCACTACCTTTTGACAGGGTTGTTCAATGCTATGATAGCCTTACCATACTATCTGTGTTCTTGATTAGAATAATATTAGGGCTATAGATGTTTTTAGAGCGACCACCATATGTGATCATAAGGTTGTCACTATCAAGATTTGAAACACTTGATACCCTCATCACAGTTCTACCATCCTAAGGACATATATCATTACCTATAACTATGATTTACATGATATAGAAGAATATGCCTTTTATTGATAAATAAACATTATCACAGAGTCAATTTTACAATAATTGATTTGCTCTAGGGCACCTACTCTAACACATTAGGCAACCCTACGAATTGTACCGACTATTGAATCATCTGAATAATTGATGGCTTGATCTCAAAATTATTTGCTTGAACTAGTGGTCTTCTGATGCTAGAATAGCACCCGTCAATAGTAGGACTGGAGTAGCCCTTCAATGCTCTTTGAACCACTACTGCTCCACTATTTGCATTGCCTCCTGTGATATCGTCATTCTCATTCTCTTGATTTTCCATATTGAGATTTATAATTCCCCTGTTAGCCATTGATTTTTCTAAGTTAGCTTGCCTCTTTTCTTTCCTCAACTGTTTGGCCATTCTCTCAATTTTAGAATCAAAAGGATTAAGATCACCACCACCTTTTAAACGTAACCTTTCCAGGATCTAAATAAAAGAAACAAACACAACATAATAAAATAAAAATCAATTTCTAAGCAAAAATAAAACAAATCAAATTAGCAACTGAATATTTCATATTGATATTGGTAAAAAATAGTTCCCCAGCAACGACGCCAAAAACTTGACAGGCTATTCGCAAGTATACAAAATTGCGCAAGTAGTAAAGCTCGAGTAAACGAATGTCGAATCCCAAGAGAACTACCTACCAAGTACCAAACTAGTCTATTTTATTGCTATTTGATGAAACAAAATTTTAAGAATGAATTAATGAAAAATAAAACAAACTAAAAAGTAGACAAAAGCAAAATTGTATTAATACTTTGGTAAAAAGATCAATAAGACTACACCTAGGGCACATATTTCACACCAATTTAATCCTATGCATTGACAATTATTGCTAACCTAATTTAGCCTCTAAAGGCCAAACTCCCTAATATTTCACTAACTTTCTCTTGAACAATTAGTGAATTAACCCTTAAACAATAACTCAGAATATCTCTAAAGTGGATTTAGAAGCTAAGAGATCATTAAGTTTTATGGAATTTACCAGAGCCTCACAAATTACGGTAACTTATCTCTAGTATTCGCTCAATCTATGGTTTTATTACCTTAGACTAATTAGGTTTCATCTCTCTATCTCAACCCAACTCAACCCAGAAAATCATTCAACTCTCGAGCCCTTAATAATTGAAAACATTGCACACAGTAATAAAACTTAGGATTAATGCTCAATTATAATTAACAACAATAAAGTCAACATATATTCATAAATTTGGCTACATCTTTAGCCCTAGAAAAGAAATTTAGTTCATAATTGCAGTAATAAAAACAACCATTTTATTAACAAACATGAGTTCAAGAAATAAAAATAGAAAAATTTCTCTAATCGGTGAACAAAAAGGGCAAGAATTCTGATCTCCAAAATAGTAGCCGCTCTTTCTCCTTCTCTAATCTCCCTAAAAACTAATTAAAGACCCTTATTTATAGTATTAGGGTTTGGAGGTTTATTAGGAAAGAAGTAAATGTCTTAAACCATTCAGATGCAGACTAGGAAAATAATAACCCAAACAAGCCTGCAATCCATCGCTGCGGCAACAGAAATGGTTGCTGCGGCGATCGTCCTTTCTGTCCCACGAGTCTGGAATCTTTAGAATCTGGCAAAGTCATAAACATGAACTTTTTAGCTATATGAATAAGTTTTCCAACGCCACAAGAATCATCGAATTTCAATTTCTACAGATTAAGTTATGATAAAAACATCGAAGCATACTCATTTTGGCAAATTCCCAAGTTTTAAGTCTCATCTTCAACGTGTCACAACTTTCTCGTTTCAATTATTATTTTGCACCATTTGTTCCTACTCGTCACAAATTCCATCAACATCATTCTTCTTTATTTAAATATCATTTTTAACCTAAAAAATACTCAAAATACACCCCATGATCCCATAAAAGGTATTTATGAAATAATTAACTCAAATTCCACAATAAAAACACATTTTCCCACAAATAATCCAATTGAATCACTAACAAAATATGTATTTTCAAGCTCTTATCAATAACAACAATATATTAACATGAAATATGCACAAACTATATGCACGCCATAATTTAATGCTCTCATTAATATTAGATAGATGACAAAAAAGATCTATTTGACATCTCTAAATACAAAGAAGAGGAGGATGTGAATGATAGCATGAAAGAGGAGGTTGAGAATGATGACGACAACAAGGAAGAGGAGGATAAGGATGTGACAATTGAGGAGGAAGATAAGTGAAGAATATGAGATATATAGGCTAAAAACTTTGCCAACATTCGGTGTTTTCGTGAACAACTTTCTTGAAACCTCAGAGTCCTTCTCCTATGGTGAATTATGATTACTCTCTTTTCCACCAAATTGATCCTTGCCCTAAGACACCAACTTCTTGAAACTCCAATGGCAACAACCAATGGGCCATAGATATGGTTATGAGTTTCACCAGGTAATACACATGCCCACCTTATGACCTTATATTCTCTTAGTGAAATACAGTGACAGAGAAAGGCTTAAGGACTTTCTGCTACAAAATGAGATCCGTTTTTTTTGCTTGATTGACCACCATAATTTCTTAAGTGCCACACAACTCTTTTACTCAATACCAAATTCAATTACTCTTTGAATGTGTGCATTCCAATTATGTACATATACTCAAATGTACCGTTTTAAAACTCGGCCCCACCCTACCTATTTAACTGATCGAACCGTGAGCCAGTGGCTAAGCCAGGCCAATTAGGGTTGAAAACCAAAATTGTAATTAACCCATTCTGACCTGCGATTGGATGGTGTTACTGTAGCAAACCATCGTTCGAACCGGTCTTCTACCAAAACCGAGTTAACTCAAATTCCCAGATTCTTCTAAGGCCAAAGTTTTAGTTGGTGAGGGAGGTTTTGTCGACTAGGAAAACACAACAACACACAACCAAAACAAGCACAAGGCAACCAAGAAGCCGAAAACAATTAGAAACCAACTGAAAATCCAATCAATCCTACACAAAAATAATTCAAATAGCTGTAGCTAAAAGTGACTCTTGGCCAACGTTCGATGGGCAAACATGAATCGAGGTTAGGGGGGTTTTGAAAGGTGGACCATACTGAGTCGTGAGGTGGTATTAGATTGAGGTTTGGTTGCCAGAATTTGGCCAAGAAACGGTGAAAATCTAGCTTGTGATTGTTGATGATCGGTGGGTGGAATGGCTTGGGAACTTTGGGGGCTTTTATAAGGTAGTGACTAGTGAGTCTAAGGGTGGTGGTGGTGGTTCAGGTTGTCAATGCTTAAAATAATTGGAAACCAGTAAAGGGCAGTCACTTGACACGATTGTCTTGGCCAGCGATCAGCAAGTGATAAGAAGGGATAAAGGGTATGGTTTTGAAGAGGAGAGGGTGGGGGTTCCAATGGTGATGATAGGGGTGATTTTGGTGAGAAAACAATGGAAAAAGGGAAAGAAGGTCGGCACTGCAATCTGGCCAAAGGAAGAGAAAGAGAGGGAGAAAAAGAGAAAGACGAAGGAAAAAGAAAGAGAAATAGGAGACGAAGAGAAAGAGGAAGGAAGAAGAAAGTGGGAAGAGATTGAAGATAGAAGAAAGTGATGCAGAGAAAGAGAAAGAGAAAAAAAAGTATAGATGCTGTAGGGTTGTGTTTGCTTTTTCTCAAACTTACAGGGACTAATGCGTAATTTTTTGGGGTGCGTTTGCTGGATTTCAAACTTGTAGGGATTAGATGAAGTGTTCAGGAATCTGTTTGTTGCACACCGATCAGACCAATCGGTTGGACCGATCAGACTGGTCAACTCGGGAACTAGTCCCTTGACTGGATCGAGTGGTGGTTTGGTTTTTAAAACATTGCTGAAATGACCATCTCTAATTGTTCATTGGTTGCTTGGAAAATCCGAGCTACTAGACAAAGATTACTTAGTGCAGAGACCTTCACCTATAATGAGCCCAATTATCTCATGCTTGCCCAGGTGTTGAATCCTGAAAATGAAGCTGAGAATGATCAAATCAGTCCTTGTATAAGTTTGGATCCTGGCAAGATACTTAAATTCATCTTTTAATGTTAGATTTGTTGCTCTAGCAGTTTTGGGACATAATTGAGGGATAAAATGTCCTTGAAGGTTTTATTGTTATTTACAAAGTCCACTGTTGACTGTTGTTGACCAATGGGTGACCACCATTGACCAGTGTTGATCAGTTATTGACCACATTGACCAGTGTTGAGAAGCCATTGACAACTGTTGATCATTTGTTGGTTGGTGTTGATAAGCCATTGACCATTGTTGATCGGTTGTTGGCTGGTGTTGAACAACCATTGATCAACATTGGTCAGCGTTGACTACCATTGACAGTGTTGACAGCCATTAAATTTTATTTTTTAGATAGAATAACTATTGTCAAAGTAAAAAAAAAAAAAAATTTAAAAATAGTATTAGTTTTTTTATTGTTATTTACATAATTAGTTTTTTATTATTATTTACATAATTATTTTTTTATTTAAAAATATAATAATAATTTTTAACTTATATGGAATGTTTCAATGAGGGTATTTTTGTCCACATTTGACTCCATTTCCTCAATATTTCATCTTATAATTTAACAATGGAATCATAATGTATTCTATTCTTGATTCATTATTCGAATATATATCTATTTCCATTTCTCTTTCTGTTTCACTACAATTCAAGCAAGTAAACATGGACTCATCATGATTCATAACCTGATATTTTGACTGTTACTGTCTTCCCTTGCAGGTGGAAATAATTCAGCGAATAAACGTTCAGGAGAGGTTATCCGTGCTCGTCACATGTCTCAAAACTCAAGTAAAATAGCAACCAAGACTCTCAGTGGACTAGTCCACATTTTTTATTATCGCAAGCGCCCATCGAGCCTCCTGAGGATGGTGCATGTATTCCTGATTTGAAGCTGATTGGTGACAGCATGTGGGAGGATTTGTTTAATCATGGAGCAAGGTCATTTGCTCAGTGGCTCTAAAGATTCTGAAATATGTGTGTGGGACATCAATGTACCTTCTAACAATAAGAAACTTTGCACTATGTAATTCATAGTGGAAGACAAATCTTGGTATGCTGAATGTAGATGTGCATGACTGCATAAATTTGATTCCGGGGTTTTATTAGTCTGAACAAAAAGCTTCAATATGCAGAAAACAAGGTATATTGTACCTCTATCCAACTTTAGGTAGTTTAATAAATTAATTTCTGGTTGCATTGCCGCATACTTATTTTATTATACTGACAATGGTTGTGCTAAAATAGGCTCATGAAGGTGAAGTATAATATGTAACTGTCTTTCTATTGATATCATCAAATGTCAATGATACATCTTTTCCTGCTTTAAAATGTGCTAAAAACTTTGAAACTTAGGCGCAGGTTTGATAGGGCAATTCACACATTTGAAAGTCACAAGTAAGAATTCTCCCGCTTGCGTAATGATATATTCCTTGAAAAAAAAGAAAAGATCTCATTTCTTAATGCACGAGCTCAACAGGGATGTTGGTAACCAAGCTACATGGAGGAATGAGGCTATCTTTGTTTCTAGTTCTAATAACACAATTAATGCTCCGGGACTGTAGGGGGTTTGAGCTTGAACTTCTTTTTAAGTGAAATAATTCCATTCTTCTTAAAAATGAGCCGTTTAAGAAACACTCTTGCCTTGTATCAATATTTGGTGTTTCTTTTGCAGGGTTGGTGATGTCCAAAACAAGATTAAAGACGACCCTCATGATGGTCACAAGAGCTCCGTTTCAGAACTTTCATGGAATCCGAATAAAGATTGGGTTATTGCCAGTGCCGCTGCTGATAGCATGATTCAAATTTGGCAGATTGCAGTGAGTATCTACCGTAGCGAATATAATACTCTCCATTCTCAACCAACACCTGCTCAGTGCTCATTCAACTTCTTCTCAAAGTTTATTCTCCCTCTCAAATCTCACCACTCTCATTTTCTTGTTCTTGCAATTCTCCTCCATCAGTACTCATTTTCTACCATCTAAAGAATTCAATTCAATTCCAGTGGTTACGGTTAATAAGTTCAGAACACCAATACTAAAATTTTGGTCCTTTGACTTAGAAATTATACTAAAATGACAAAAAAACACTTCTAAAAAGTAATAAAAATGCATTACACGAACAACATAGTATATACTATGGTGGGATTGACTTAGATTTGCTGTGGTGGGATTGTCCAGTTTAGTGAAATTTTTCTAATATTGTTGTCTATGAAGGTCAAAAACTAAGAGAAGTGAAAAGAAGAAACTGCCCTTCACTTAAAGTTGCTACTGCATACGCTGCCGTTTGACTTTTGCATATCAAGTAGTTAACTTCAGTTAACTTCTTTTCTCTTCTTTGCTTACTGAACGTATATATAAAACTAAAATGTATCCAGAAGTCAAGAATCAAGAAATCAAGAAAACAGAGTTGCAATTCCTTCTCAATTCTTTCTTCCAATTTTCGATTGTTCTCTAAAAGTTCACATATCTTTCTCTCTACATCTTTTAAGTTCCAAGGAATTTTTTGTTTTCCAACGTATAGGCGCTTGGTGAGGACAAAGTGTTAGAAATTGAGAGATAGAGCAATGGAGGAAGAACAGAGGATAAGAGATCGATGCTTCGAGTACTGGAAGACGAAGAGGACAGTTATGTACAATAAAATCATCAACCATTTTCTCGAATGGCCGTGTCATACTGTTGAGTGGCTTCCTGGTAAATTAAAGCTAGCTGACCAAGAATGTTATGTTCACCAGTTGATTCTTGGCACCCACGCTGCCCAGAATGAGCCCAATTATCTAATTGCTGCCAACGTTCTGTTTCCTGAAGACGAATCTGATCTTGGTGGCATTGGCTACCGCAGTGGCAAGGTACTCCCTCAAGAAGGGGGAAAAGGACTTAATAAAGAAAGTTATATTCATCCTTTGATCGCAGATTCGTTGGTTCAGTTTGGACATAACATTAAATTTCTTGAAGTTATTCTCTAACATTTCTTTTATTATTATATTTTAAAGATTCAAGTTTAAATTCATGGTAACTGATTGTTGAATTGATATTTGACAGACAATTCATGATTCATACTTGAATAGTACTGTCATCCCTTGCAGGTGGAAGTACTTCGGAAAATAATACATGAAGGAGTGGTTAAATGTGCTCGTCACATGCCTCAGAATACGAGTTATATAGCGACCAAGACTGTTAGTGGAGAAGTCCACATTTTTGATCATGTAAAACACCCATTAGAGCCTACTCCGCATAGTGTACTCTTTGAACAAGAAGGTCCTGATTTGAGGTTGCTTGGCCACAGAACTAACGTCAACGTGTATGGTTTATCGCATGATAAATTATCATGGAGCAAGTTGAAGAAGGGTTATTTGCTCAGTGGTGCTGATGATTCTCAAATATTTGTGTGGGACATCAATGCATCTCCTAACAACGTGGCACTTTGGTCCACGCCGAGGGTAAGGGTACATTTATCTATTTATCTATATTGAACTTATTGGCTTTGTACATTCAAATGCAGAAAAAGTCCATGGCCTTGTACTCATTTTTACATTTACAATGGTTGGGCTAAAATAGGGTCATAATGGTGGTGTACAAGATGTAGCATGGCATGTGAAGAATGAGCACTTACTTGGTTCTGTTGGTAGTGATAAATACCTATCAATATGGGATCTTCGGCAATCAATACAAAATAACCCTGTCCAGTCTGTTGTGGCTCACCGGGATGAGGTAGGCATCTACACAGAAAGACGTAAATTAGACTAAAATCATCTATCTGCTTTAACTAGAGCAACAGATAATTAACCTTAAAAATGAGTATCAGTCTTTTTAATATAAGAAATCATTTTTCATTTATTATAAGAAAGACATAAATTAGATTGATTGCTGCAATTTTAACTTGGATGTATTAGTCTTTTTATTGATCTGTTCAATGTCAATTGATGCATCTTGTCATACCTTAAAAAACCAGAAAATTTTGGAATTTCCCTTGCAAGTAAATATTAAATTTGAACATTGATTTTCATTTGATGCTTGTGTCTCATTTTTATCCCTCAAAATGCCAACTTGTTGACAAGTTTCACATTAGATAATGTCTTCTTTGCTGGTGTTTGCTGAAAGGATCATATAACTTGTGTAATCTGATGTTAATAGGTCACTTCTTTATCTTTCAATCCCTTTGATGAATGGACCTTGGCAACGGGTTCTGCTGATAAGATGGTCAAGGTATTTGATCTGCGCAATATTTACAGGGCAAGATACAGATTTACCGATCACAGGTAAGAATTTAATTTTTAATTTTTAATTTATTTATTTATTTATTTTTGGTTATTTCAAAAGGAAAAGCACTTATCGCTTAATGCTCAACAGGAAGGTTGTCAACCAAGTTGAGTGGAGCCCCAAGAATCGTAATCTCTTGGCTTCTTTTTGTGCTGACAGAAAGTTGATAATCTGGGATCTTAGCAGGTTTGAACTTAAAATCCCACAATGGTTATGCAATTTTTAACTGAAATAATTTTGTTTTATGAACTATGAACAATCTTGCCTTATATTAATATCTGGTGTTCCGTCTTGCAGGATTGGTACTGAACTAACATTAGAGCAGATTCTTAAAGGTCCACCAGAGTTGCTCTTTGCTCATACTGGTCACAAGCGCGCCATAAAAGAATTTTCATGGGATCCGAATGGAGATTGGGACATTGCTAGTGTAGCCGAAGACAACGACCTTCAAACATGGAAGATGACGAATGATTATGACCAGGGAAGACAATTGTCAGGGACATGAGTAATTAAAAAATGATAGCTCCACAACAGAATGTTAACAGTAAAATGGAAAACATGAAAACATTCTCATTTTTAATTTTTTTATTTGTTTGATAATCCAGAAATACAATTTCCAAATACTCTCCAACAAACAGCTTATTCAACTTTTTCCGGATTCGTTCTCAGTCTCTTGTTCTACGTACTGTCCAAAATTTCACCAAATGCTTCCATGTCTTCAACAAGCATACCTTACTCTCTGTGCTTGTCGAGCTGTATTGAAATTGATCATTAATTAGAAGCAAAGGGAGACATAAAGTATCATTGTTTTCAAATGACACAAATCCCCTATTACATGAATTCTACCGATAGAGTTCGTATGAATCTTATGTTAGGTCTCAAGTGTATCTTTTTAGAATAAGTCTATCCTTACAAAGAACTCTATAAAGAAACTTACAAAGTGAAGAAAAAAACAAAGGAAAAACGGAAAAAGAGAAAGAGAGAGAGAGAGAAATGATGAAGATGAAGGGTGGAGGTTAACTTTCTATACTTCCTTTGTAGGCTTCTTTGTAAGACTAGCATTGCTGATCTTTTTATCTATGCAATAATTTTTTTGGGAGAGAATAACATGTTCCCATCCAAGGTTTGGCAAAACGACACTTTCCCATCCTTTAAGTTTCAAAATGACGCTTTTCCACAATTCGTTAGGTTTTATTATGTTTTCTGTTAATATTTAGCTAAAAAGACAAAAATATCCTTAAATATTTGACTTTATAAATTTTTTTATTCTTTTTTAATTAGCCAAAATTTCAATTATTAAAAAGTTAAAAAAAAAAATTAGGAGTAATGCTATGGAAGTTTAAAGTTAAATGACCTTAATATTTATTTATAATATCATCACTATTATTCAATAATCTACTAAATTTATAATGTTTTTCATTTTGACTAATTAACATATAAAATCAATATTCCTAATTAATTAAAAAAACAACGGAAAATAAAAAAGTATATTTACACTTGAAATAATAAATAATTACTTTGATTTAACTAAATTTTAATTTATAATAAACTAATTAAGGGTATTTTCATCTTTTCAATCAAATATTAACAGAAAATACTAACGAAGCTTGATGAATGAGAAAGTGTCATTTTGAAATTTGATGGGTGGGAAAGTGTCGTTTTGCCAAACCCTGGGTGGGAAAATGTCATTCTTTCTTTTTTCCTAATTCTTAATTCCTTTCATTAATTATAAATCACCTGTATGTATTTCCTCAAACTCTAATTAGAAGAGAATCCCAGTTAGAGGTGGAAAAGTAACCCGCTCGGCTCGACTCGACCCGGCCCGCGGCGGGTTATGCAAAGTAGCGGGCGGGTCAACATAACCCGGCCTGCCAATTATGGGGAATTGGCTAGCCCAACCTGACCCGCCAACCCTAACCCATTGGGTTAGGCCGCGGGTCGGGCCAAGTTAACCCCTTTTTGATTTTTTGTTTTGTTTAAGTTTAAATGTTTAATTAACTTTTCAAATGAATAATTAACAATTTATAAATGAGTAAATGTAATTGTTTTTAGTTAACTTCTTTTCAAATATCAATAATTCAATTCAATTCAATTTTGTTTTGTTAACATTCCAAATATTAATTCAATTTTAATACATTAAAATTGTAATATAAGAAAAATTAAATTTATTCATTTATTAAAAAATAAAATAAGAAATTACAATAATTATTGGTTCGTTAAAAACCTCACCAAGAAAAACCAAATGGAACAAAAACTTGGTAAAGAAAAAAGAATGCAATAATTGACAATTAATTTACAAGTTACAATTTACAATTTACGAAACAACTAATTTTGGGGTTGACTAGGACCTCCCTCATATGTATCATCTATATTACAAAATTGAAATGATTCTATTAAAAACCTCGTATTGACCTTGATGGTGCGACCGTTCCCAATCTCGAAGACATGTGAGGACTTCAATCATTTTTTGTGAAAGTTTAGTCCTCCTTTCATTTAAAATTCTTCCACTTGCACTAAATGTTTGTTCGAATGAGACGGTTGAGACCGGAACAGCAAAAACATCCAAGGCAAGTCTTGATAATACCGAAAAAATATATTTTCTGGTTTTCCAATATTCCAAGACATCAAAGTTGGCTCTTTGTTGTGGATCTGTTGGTAACATTTCAGGAGTTCCCAAATATTGTTGAAGCTCGTTACTCTATGACTGCATGGCGGACAATAGATCC